TTTATTTTAGGTGTATGGATGTATTGCCTCCGTATGCATAAGGGCATCCATGTTGTGTAGTGCCTGTGTAGATCAGAAGAGGGTGCTGGATCCCTTGGAACTGGAGTTATAGACAGTTGTTAGCTGCCATGTGGGTGCTGGGAATCGAACCCCGGTTCTCTGCAAGAGCAGTCAGTGCTCTTAACCTCTGTGCCATCCCTTCAGCCCTGGCAATTTCGGATTTTCATAAACAGAAAGTGGGCTTAAAAATAACAACTCTGGGTGGCACACACCTTCAATCCCACTAGACCCTGTCTCAAAAAAAGAAAAGCCTAAGAAATGTAAGGTCATTCTTGGCTACTGAGTTAGATGCCAGCATGGGCTACATGAGACCCTGTGGAAGGGAGAGAAAGGGGCGGGACAGAAGAAAGGAGGGAAAAGGAGGGAGGGAGAGGGGAGGGAAGGAGGAAAGAGGGGGGAAAAACAGAGTAGGAGGCAGCATAGGAGGATGGAGAGTTCAAGGCCAGGCTGGGTTACACAGCAAGTATGAGGCCAGCCTTGGCTACAGAGACTGGAGGTGAGGTGGAAAGGGGAGAGTTTTCTATGCAGAGCTGCTTCTTCAGACTTTAGTTTGCACGTGGTCATCTCGGCCTCCTGGGTCTCTCAGCGTCAGTGCTGACAAGCAATTTTTCTCAGCAAGTTTTCTGTGGGTGTTTTTTCTTTTCCACTAAGGCATTGTGTCCTATTTTTTTCATTAGCCCAGCCATCTACTACCCCCCTCCACCCACCACTTTTTTTGAGACAGTGCCTTAAGTGGCCTAGGCTGGCCTCTAAGTCACTATGTAGCCAAGGATGACCTTGAGAAGTCTGACCCTCCTCTACCTCCTGGGTACTGGATTACAGGCTCAAACCACCATGCCCAGTTTCATGTGGTGCTAGGGATCAAACCCATGGCTTCATGCCTGCTAGACAAGCACACCACCAACTGGGCTACATCCCTAGCTCCAATGACTAAATAGCTATAATAATTTTGCAATACTTAAATTTTTTTTTATTATTTTTATTTTATGTGTATACGTGTATTGCCTGCGTATAGGTAAGTGCACCCGTATTGTACAATGCTGGCGGAGGACAGAAAAGGCTGTCAGATCCCCTGGAACTGGAGTTACGGACAGTTGTTAGCTGCCATGTGGGTGCTGAGATTCAAACACAGGTCTTCTACAAGAACAGCCAGTGTTCTTAACCGCTGAGCCATCTCTCCAGCCCAATTTTGCAATACTTATAAAACCAAGTCTTGACAGGACTTGTTCACTATAGGGGGAAAAAAAAAATTCAAACAGCTTTACATTCCAAATATGCAGAGTCAATCTTGGGCTGTTGTCACAGCTCAGGCGTAGCTGCATGCATGAGGTCCCGAATACGATGCACTGTACCACCAAAGACAGTTAACAACTCCTTTTTACTCCCAGATGTGTACAGAAGGAATCTTCTGGATTGTAATCAGACAAGAACAGCTTTTTAAAAAGCACTCTTTTACAAGCTTTCTGACAAATTTTCCACAGATACACAACAGAAAGAAATAAGCAGTCTTCGGGCTGGAGAGATGGCTCAGTGGAAGAACACTTGCTGCTCTTTCAAAGACCTGGGCTTGATTCCCAGCACCCACATGACAGCTAACAACTGTTTGTAACTCCAGTTCCAGGGGATCTGACACCCTCTGTCCTCTGCAGGCATTGCATGACATGGGTACACTTACATACATGCAGGCAAAATACTCATTCACATAAAATAAAAATATTAATTTAAAAAAAAAAAAAAAGAAAAAAAGGCCGGCTTGGGGGCACATGCTTTTAATCCCAGTACTTGCACTTGGGAAGCAGAGGCAGGGGGATCTCTGTCAGTTCAAGGCCCACTTGGTCTACATAGTGAGTTCTAGGCCATCAGGGGCTACAGGGAGACCGTCTCAAAAAAAAAAAAAAAAAAAAAAAAAGAGCAGTCCAGACATTAGCTGGTTAAATACTTTCCCACAAATAACTTTATATAGGGTAAGCACACACAATGGCAATCTATCACCAACCAACAAAACCTGTTTCTCTTCCTCCTAAAAAGCACTAGACAATCATTGAAGAGGCCACTCACTGTAGAGTTCCCACGTTGGGGAAAGAAGGGTGCAGACCATCAGGCAGGCACTCCCTAGTAGGCCTCCAGTAAAACCAAATTCTTGGTACTATTGATCTCCTGCCACCCCCTTTTTGTGGGGATTAGAGCTTTTTAAAAATAATACTTTTATTGATTCTTTGAGAATTTCGTACAATTATTTAGACGGTATTCAAACGCCATCCTTCACCTCCTCTCAGATCCACCCAAATCTCCCTAGTCCCCTTTTAAAAACTAGATAAAGGTCACCAGATATGGTGGTATACACCTTTAATCCCAGGACATGGGAGGCAGAGGCAGGCACTCTCAGGAGTTTGAGGCCAGCCTGCTCTACACTGTAAGTTCCAGACTAGCCAGGGCTACACAGTAAGAGCCCCCCCTCCCCCAGCTCAGAATGTTTTTGAATGAAAACTATCCTTGATTTATTTCTCAGTATAAAAGGACTATCTACTTTCTAATGGAGTAGGGATTCTAGTCAGCCAGCTGGTCCATTAACTATCCTTCCCAGTGACTCACTTCAGTTTCATCTGTATTAAGGAGCAGCTGACTACACTATAACTTGGTTTAGACTACTGTTAGTAAACATATAATCTTAACAGATCTAATTTCAGAGGATAGAAATTGGTACAGTTTAGAGTGCTGCTGATGTCTTTAGAGGAGGCTTGGGGAAAAAAAGGGTCTATTTGGACACTTTTGCTGACTACAAAGCACTACAGGGCATGGGGTTATTTGTGTCTTGTTTTAGCAAAATTCCTTCATTTTAAAAAACAATGTTAGAGAATCTCTGGGAAATTTTAATACTAAAAAGTCCTGTTACTCTCATCTGTTTTATGTTTTCACAATTGGAGCAATAAATCAAGATGATCTCTATGGAATTATCTGCATTCCTAGAGTGCGGTGCGCTGATTTCTTTCCAAAGAAGTTTACAATGATACTCAATGATGTGCCTTACACTTGTCAACCTAATTTTAAAATTGGAAAATGGAGAAGCACTAATTCATTGATCTTTCACTGAATCACTGGAGGCTAAGTAAAAAAATTCACATTATTGAAAGCCAGAAAGAGAACTAAAAAGAGTAATTTAAAAACTCAAATCTGAGCCGGGCATGGTGGTGCACGCCTGTAGTCCCAGCACTTGGGAGGCAGAGGCAAGCGGATCTCTGAGTTCAAGGCCAGCCTAGTCTACATAGTGAGTTTCAGGACAGCTGGGGCTACAGTGAGACCCCGCTTAAAAAAAAAAAAAAAAAAAAAAAAAAAAATTTGAGAGGCACAGAGGACAGGAGGCAGAAGATACTGTGCACTCAAATTTTCATCTTTCAGCAGAAGTAATCAATAAATACTATCTAAAGATGACACAAGAAACATGAATGTAACTTTTAAAGCAATGAATGCAACCTTCAGAAGAAGCACAAATAAATGACTCAAGGGATGGGATACTTTATTTTATACCTCTGTACAATCTGTACTTTCCTACTGTGCAAAGATTCACACTGAATGCTAGTTTGTTAAACTGGCAACAAACAGCTTCTTAAAAATCCACTCTATTTCATTCTCTACACATAAATAAGAGCCTATGGATTGTCAATGTCATAAAACAGAACACATTCCAAAGTGAAGTATCTCTCAAATTACCAGAAAGGTGGTGGGGTTTTGTTTTTTCCCCGGGAGAAGGGGTATTGTGTGTTCTTCTAATCTTTCTAAGTCTTCAAAGTTCATGGCTGACCAGTAACCAAAATGGCCAAAATAGCACCTATGACAACTACAAACTTAAAAAAAAAAAATTTAAAGAAAGAGAAACCCATTGATTGCAACTGTTTTAAAACCAAAACCCCTTTTCCTATGTTTTAAGTAAAAATAACGTGGTCCAACACAAGTCCTCTAAATTAGTCCTAAATACAGTCAATGTTAAAAGAAAGACAACAAAGAGTCTAAGTCCTCACAGTAATCAACAAGACGTGTAGGGCTTCTGTTTTCCTTGAAATGAAAAGAGGCAATTTGAACATCTGCTGTCTTCGCTGATCCTCTGGGAATGTAAAAGTATGCAGGGCAGTTTTACCTCGTAGTACCTCCCGTTTTTAAAGCAATTTCTTTCTGCCGACATAAGAGGTCAAAGCAGCTGGGTTTTGTTCATTCCTACTCTCCGACCTTTATGCTCCGCTAGCCTTTCACCTTACTAAGCCTCCTAAATGTAATTATCTCAAACCACAAACTGAATTCAAAGGAAGGGGAGAACTTCGTGACAAGCGATGATGGAATATGATTTGACACAATCATCTCAGAACTGGAGTATTTCTGGCAGCCACATTATGTGTACCTTAGGTAATCATGAGTAAAGATCACAGAATTTAAACGGGTCTTCCTCTTCCCACCTGGCAAGGTCTCGCCCCATCGAGTGCTCCTTGAAAAAAGACAAGAGCCAAAGAAAAGCTCCCAAAATGTTCACCAACACAGTTGCCACTTAATTCTGACGATACCCAAGTATCTCATGCACAGTCTCAAAGCCTCGACTTTACTCTTAACTCCCGGAATGGGTATCTGACTGTAGTTCAGGTACACTTCATGAACTCTGCCACACTGAAGAAGATAACCCTGATTTACAAAATCACAGGCTCGAGGCCTGTGGGAAATCAAAGGAGCCAAACTGAAGCCGTCCAGGCTCGGAAGCCACAGCAATCAGAACGCCGAGGCAGACATCCCTCGCAATCCTCTACTCGAAATGCACCAGAAGCGGCTGCAGAGCGCTCGTCAGCACGTTTCCAGTCCCCGCAGCGGTGGACCGTCGGCCCGGCCCTCGCCCGCCTCCCCCGGATCCAGCCCGGCCGGCTCGCTCCAGCGGCCCTCGCCCGCTGCCCCCGGACACTCACCCACGGTAGTAGGCTTTCACCCGGACCTGGTGCGAATGGTCCCCGCCGCCGCCGCCGCCCGCGACCGTGTGGGACATGGTGCTGCTGTCCCTCTGGGTCGGCATCTCCTCCCTCCCCCGCCGCGCCGCGCGAGGCCGAGGACCGCGAGGGACTCGGCCGCCCGAGCCTGCCGGGAAGCCGCGGCCGCCCGCCTCGCCGCCCTGCCCGCCACGCCGCGGAGCCGACGAAAGGTCCCCGAGCCCGGACGCCCGGAACCGTGCCGTACCTCCCGCCGCCCGGGCCCAGCACGCCTCCCCACCGAGGCTCCTCCCACCGCGGGGCTTCGAGGCCGCATTCCCCGGCTGGGCGGGCGCTAGAGAGCCCCGGAGGTCGCCGCGCCGGACTGAACCATCCCTACGGGGGAGGAGAGAAGAGCAGAGGAAACGGGATCCATCGTGCATACGATTAGACGTGCCGAAATGGGGCCTTCTACGGATATTTACTTTGGAAACTCCAAGTGTGTCCTTTGAACTGCAACTTTTGAACAGTGGGGACGGTAAGCCACACATGCTCTGGGCTTCCACCCCCGCTTTCCCACTTGGTTGCATCTAAAGCGCCCTGCTCCGCATCCTGGATGGCTTTTTGCCGCGTGGATTTCTGGGATTTGGCGTCCCGGTGGGATTCTGGAACTTGTGGTTTCTGTAGCGAGCGCCCCCGACTCTAGCGTGAAACTCTTAAACACAGCTGAGAGCCCTGGGAAGTATGGCTTCCTCGCGGTCTAGATGGAGTTCCCGGTGAAATTATGTCAGTTTCATTAATCATCGAAATTATACAGTGCCTTTTTGGGGAAGCAAGATTTGGTTACCTACTCAGCTCAGTCTCTTTTATAATAAGAATTTAATAATATAAGTAGTAAATGCATTTATGAATGTACTGAAAGGAACTCAACTGGAAGATACTAGAGAACACAGACTCTTTTTACCTTCAGGACCCTCAGTTGTAGGCTTCAATATACTGGCGTTCTGTGGAACCAAGTGCACAGCAAATATTTAACCAGCTAATCAATCCATTAGCATTTGTTCTGTTGACTCTAGCTAACCAAGAATAAGAAGCTACCCTTACAGGCAGCTTGAACCGAGCCGTCCTGCCAGTCATGATAGTAAAACGTGCTAAGAGTTGAAATTATTGAAGATGCAGCATTCTTTATGATAAGTTAGACTTGCACGCTTAACTAATGAGAGCGTTTGTGACATTCAGCTTGGTATGACATCCTCCGACTGTCACAAATTTGTATTATATTAAAATGCCCATTGAATCTTTTTTTGACAATTAAGAGACCTGCACCATTATATTAATTATGGATCAATATCTATGGACTAAATTGCATCTAAAGAGATGGTCAAAATCATTTTTCCAAGGTGGGGTGGGGGTGGTTTGAGACAGCGTCTCCCTGTAGTACCATCTGGCCTGGAACTTCCTATGTAGACCAGGCTAGCCTCGATTTCAGAGAGATCTGCCTGCCTCTGCCTCCTGAGTGCTGGGAATAAAGGTGAGTACCACTACACCTCGCAGAGATGCTCAAATTCTAAATGGATTATTGGAAATTTTTGTGAAAATTTAAGTATAATTCTCTAGAAAAATTACCTTATTACATATAAGGAGTGAAAATTTATAGAGAACTCACAGAAAACCTTTTTTTAAAAAAAAATTCTATTTCAGCCAGCACATGCCTTTAATCCTAGCACTTGGAAGGCAGAGGCAGGAGGATCTTTGTGAGTTCGAAGTCAACCTGGCATACATGGTGAGTTCTAGGCCAGCTGGGGCTACAGGGAGACCCTGTCTCAAAAAGAAGAAAAAAAAAATCCTTATTCCTGTGGCTGGAGAGATGACTCCATGGTTAAGCATTTTTCTTGCTTGTCTTGTAGAGGACCTGTGTTCAGGTTCCCAACACCCGCATGGTGACTAACAACCATCTGTAACTCCAGTTGCAGGTGATCTGACACCCTCTTCTGACCTCCTCAGGTCTTGAACACATGTGTTACACTTATATACATACATGCAAAACACGCATACACATAAATAAATCCTTATAAAAAATAGGACATCATTGGGCTCATATAATGGTTTTGAAGGGACCATTGATAGCAGAGGTGACTTGCTACTTACTGTGTTTTCTATAATTATGTAAATATAATTCCAATAAACACAACCACATATAAATAAGTTTTTCTTTTCTTAAAGATGGCAGCTTTTAAATAATTTTTATTACAGCTGTTTATTTTCTTGAGAGGAGGCACATGTGGTAGTCCTAGAACAGCTTATGGGAGTTGGTTCTCTCTTCTACCATGCGGGGTCCTGGGGATTTAACTCAGGCCATTGAAGCCTGACAGCAGATGCCTTTACTTGTTGAGCCATTTTGCCAACCCAATATGACAGCTTTTGGTTGTTGTTTGGTTTTTGTTTCTTGAAACAGGGTCTCTCACTCCTTAGCACTGGTTGGCCTAGAACTTACTATGTATACCAGGCTGGCCTAGAACTCACAGAGATCCACCTGCCTCTGCCACTCAAATGCTGGGATTAAAGGTGTACACCACCATACCCAGCCCAGGAGAAGATGACATATCCTTGGGGGCCCAGCCAGCTACTGGGGTTGCTATGATGAGAGAATCATTTGGGACCCTGAGTGCAAGATCAGCATGGAGGGCATAGAGGGAGGAAGGAAGGGAAAGGAGGAGAGAAGGGGAGAAGAGGGCAGGGGAGGAGGGGGGAATAAAAAAACTTCAATTGGGATTATCACAGAAAGCATGACATTAAAATTTTGAAGTTTGGGGGTTGAAGAGATGGCTCAGCAGTTAAGTGCACTAGCAGGGGAGGACCTGGGTTCAGTTCCCAGCACCCACATGGCAGCTAACATAAGTTCAGTTCCAAAGGTTCCAACGCCTTCTTTTGGCCTCCATGGGCATTGCAGGACAAGGGTGCACTTACATACATGCAGGCATATATTCATACCCACGCAGACACATGCGATCACACACACACACATACACATTAATTAAAAAAAATAAAAAGTAAAACGTTAGCCGGGTGTGGTGGTGCATGCCTTTAATCCCAACACTTGGGAGGCAGAGGCAGGAGGATCTTTGTGAGTTTGAGGCCAGCCTGGTCTACATAGTGAGTTCCAGGACATCTGGGGCTACAGGGAGACCCTGTCTCAAAAAAACCAAAAAAAAAAAAAAAAAAAAAAAAAAAAAAAAAAGACATTGTGTCAAGGGGAAAAAAGAGGAAATATGAGTTTTAGAACTTTATCCCTTTTCAGGAGCTGTTTTTTTTTTTAATATTCTAGATTCCTTATAGTTCCATATGGATTTTAGGATTAATGTTAATCTCTTTTAAAAAAAATCCAGCTTGGAAAAAAAAAATCCAGCTGGGATTTTGACAATGACACCACTGAATCTACAAATCAGTTTGTGGGATTTTTGGCTATCAGTGCTGACCCCTCCTACCCATGAATGTGGTGTTACTTTCCATTTTTGGTTGCCTTTGACTTATTTCAATGCTCTGCATTTTTCAGAACATATACTTTACACTTCTTTTATTAAAGTCATTCTTAAATATTTTATTTTCTTTTTAAAAATATTTTATTTATTATTTTTATTTTATGTGTATGAGTGTATTTCCTGTGTGTATGTGAGTGCACCCATGTCATGCAATGCTGTGGAGGTCAGAAGAGGGCTTTGGAATCTCCTGGAACTGGAATTAAGGACAGGTCATAGCAGCCATGTGGGTGCTGGGAATTGAACCTGGGTCCTCTGCAAGAGCAGTCAGTGCTCTTAAGCACTGAGCCATCTCTCCAGTCCCCTATTTTCTTTAATACTATTAAAAATGCAATTATTTAATTTCAATTTTGGAGCATTCATTGCTAATATAGGATGCAGGGTTTTTTTGTATATTGGCTTATATCCTGCAAGCGTATATGAATTATTTATTAGGTGGAATCATGATTAATATTTTTTAAATTTATTTTATATGTATGAGTGGTTTGTCTCCATGTATGTAAGTGCACATGTGTCATGAGATGCCCAGAGAGGCCAGAAAAGGGTGCCAGAGCCCCTGGAACTGGAGTTACAGACAGTTGTTAGCCACCATGTGGGTGCTGGAAACTGAACCCAGTTCCTCTGTAAGAGCAGCCAGTGCTTTTAAGAGCTGAGCCCTCTCTCCAGCCCTCATGATTAATCTAGATTGTCTAGTCAACTTGACTAGACTTAGAAACACACCTCTGAGTGTGTCTAGAGGGTGTTTCCAGAAAGGTTTAAATGAAGAAGGAAGAAAAGACCCACAGTGAATAAGGATAGCAGAGTCACATGGGCTGGGGTCCTAAACTGATAAAAAGGAAAAAGTGAGCTGAGCATCAGCATCCCCCCCCATGTGACCTGCTGCCTCCTCTTCTGTTGTCATGCCTCCCAGCCATGATGGACTGTATGCCATCAAATAGTGAGACAAAATTAACCCTTCCTTCCTTCAAAAAGTTGCTTTTTTCAAATATTTTGTCACAGCAATGGGAATGGTCATGAATAAGGGTGGCTCCTAGGACTTCCTATAAACAAGGTTCTATCATTAAACAATACAGATGGATCTATATGTTCCCTTCCAAACTGGATACTTATTAATTTATTTTTTCCTTACCTGATTTATGGGTTAGACCTTCCAGTCCCAGGACAGACAGAAGAGGGACGCCTGGACATCCTTGTCTTGTTGCCAGTCTTAGGATGCTTTTCACTCTCTCACCGCTGTGATGATGATGTAGAACATTCTGTCTTTGTCGTTTTGAAACAGGGTCTCATGTATCCCAGGCTGGCCTGGAACTTGCTATGTAGGCAATGATGATCTTCAACATCATTCTCCTACCTCCACCTCTAGAGTGCTGGGATTACAGGCATGTGCTTCCACACTTAGTTTAGGGTGTGCTGAGGATCCTAGCCTTTTGCATGCTAGGTAAGCACTCTACAGACTGAGCTATCTTCCTAGCTCCTGCCCCAGGGTTTTTTCAGATGTCCTTTAGCAGGTTGAGAATTCTATTCTATTCCTTGTTTGTTGACCGGCATTAAAAAGGGAATTGGGTTTGTTCAGTGCTTTTATTGTTATTGTATAGTGAGAAATTAGCTAGCTTTATCCTTTATTCTGTTAATACAGTGTATCCATTATTTTTCTGTTACTGTGATAAAATACCTTAGCGAAAAGCAAGCTAGAGAAGAAAGGGTTTATTTCCGTTTACAGGTTATAGTTCATCTTTGTGGTAAGTCAGGGCTGCCCAACCAGGAACTTGAAACAGAAACTACAGAGGAGCCGGGAGCCGGCTTGCTGGCT